CGGGGGCGAAGGCGGGGGGTGAGGCACCCCGAGACCCCTGCCCGGTCCCCTCTGTCACGGCACGGGTACCCCACGGGCATGGGGCACCCCGTGTGGATGGGCACGCCAGAGGCAAGGGCATCCCATGGGGATGGGCAACCCGTGGGGACAGGCACTACATGGGGACGGGCACCCCATGGACATGGGGATCCCGTGGGCAAGGGCACCCCACGGGGATGGGAACCCCATGGGGATGGGCACACTGTGAGCACAGGCACCCCATGGGGACGAAGACCCCTCCCTGGTCCCCTCTGCCACGGCATGGGCACCCCATGGCACAGGCACCCCGTAGGAACAGGCACCCCAAGGGCATGGGCACCCCATGGGGACAGAAACCCCATGAGGACAACCACCCCATGGCGATGGGCACCCCATGACACAAGCACCCCATGGGCAAGGGCACCCTGTGGGGACGGGAACCCCATGGGGATGGGCACCCCATGGACACAGGGACCCTGTGGGGATAAGCACACCATAGGAACAGGCACCCCACAGGCATGGGCACCCAATGGACATGGGGTTCCTGTGGGCGAGGGCACCACACGGGGATGGGCATCCCGTGGAGATGGGCACCCTATGGGCACAGGTACCCCATGGCACAAGCACCCCATGACATGGGGACCCCATGGCACGGGCACCCCATGGGGATGGGCACCCTGTTGACACAGGGACCGCATGGCACGAGCACCCCACGGCATGTGCACCCCATGAGGATAGATGGGCACCCTGTGGGGATGGGCACCCCACGGCATGGACATCCCATGGGCAAGGGCACCCCACGGGGCCAGGCATCCCCTGGAGATGGGCACCCTATGGGCACAGGTACCCCATGGCACAAGCATCCCATGACTTGGGCACCCCATGGCATGGACACCACGTGGGGATGGACACCCTGTTGACACAGGGACCGCATGGCACGAGCACCCTGTGGGGACGGGCACCCCGTGGACACAAGGACCCCCTGGCACGAGCACCCCGTGGGGACGAGCACCCCATGGGCACTAGTACTCAACAGCACGGGCACCCCACAGCATGAGCACCCCATGGAGATGGGCACCCCGTGGGGATGGATGCCCCGTGGGGATGGACACCCTGTTGACACAGGGACCCCATGGCATGAGCACCCCACGGCACGGACACCCTGTGAGGATGGGTGGGCATCCTGTGAGGATGGGCACCCCATGGCATGGGCACACCATGGGCAAGGGCACCCCACGGGGACAAGCATCCTGTGGAGATGGGCACCCTATGGGCACAGGTACCCCATGGCACAAGCACCCCATGGCATGGGCACCCCGTGGTGAGGAGCACCCCATGGGGATGAACACCCTGTGGACACAGGGACCCCATGGCACAAGCACCCCATGGGGATGAGCACCCCATGGGGATGAGCACCCCATGGGCACTAGTACTCAATGGCACAGGGACCCCATGGCACGGGCACCCCGTGGGGTTGGACACCCTGTTGACACGGGCACCCCACAGCATGAGCACCCCATGGACACGGGCACCCCATGGCACAGGCACCCCATGGACACGGACACCCCGCGGCTCACCTGGCAGGTACAGCGGGTGCAGGGCTGTCCCTCGGGGATGAAGGTCT